ATAAAGTTACCAGTGTTGAAGAGATAGCTCTTAATGTCCTTCTGACATTAATGCCAGTGTGCTAGTTAGAAAGGCAAGAGAGGAATTAAAACCAACTCCAAAGCAGATCAGTGGGTTCAATTTCCCATTTCAACTGCTAGTCAGGTGCTTAGCCCTCTGTGCCCATTTCTTCCTTTGTTCACTGATGATGGCAGTGTTGGCTACTTTATGGACATACTATTAGAAAACATAAAGGTTTGATAGCTAGAGCCTTCAGAACCTAATCCAGCACATACTAAGCCCTGGAAACCTTTGTCATCATAACATTTTCACACAAATTTGAGAGTTACTTGAGGGAAGAAGTGGATACCCTGGACCTTAGAGAAACAAGCAGCGGAGCAGGCTCCACACTCTGTGGCCATCATGGTCTGATGACTTATCACACCATTGTGCCCCTTGCTAAATGCTAAGTTTGTTTTACTGTGAACGTCGTGAAGAAGGTGCTCAAGGAGAATGAGAGATGGACTGGAATGGAATGTGCTGGTGTTAGCTCCCTGAACAGCTTCAGTTGTCATCTTCTTTGACTTGGCTTCCATATCTAACAAGCATGGGTGAATGGTGTTTGTGTCCCTTCTTTAGAGCAAACCTTGGTTTTCTTCCTTCTTCCCCAACCAGGGGGAGTGTGAGTGTCTTCCAGCTCTCTGTCCTTCTTCAAAAAAAAAAAAAAAATACAACAAGAGAAACGAATTTGATTGCACTCAACAAAAACTTACCTTGCAAGGAAATACCAGGTCTCTTTCCAATGCTTCTACAGGCCAGTGGCACGTGTGGAGAGAGCCTTATGCAGTGGTCTTGATGGGCTTGTAGCACCTGACTTTCTTGCGAACTGGTTCTATTGGCCTCTCCTCATTTTCCTCTAGACCCAGCAAACAACTTCCGTGACTCAGCCCAGATCTAACTAATTAGTTTGAAGTTACTGAGTAATTTTCTCAAAGGTATTTCATTTCTTCATTTTACACTTTTATTTGTTTGTTTACTGTGTTTATATAGCAATATGTGGCAGTCAGAGGGCAACCTTCATAAGTCAGTTATCTCCTTCCAAATATGTCGAGTCCCTGGGAAGAAATTCAGGTCACAGGTTTAGAGGCAAGTTCCCTTACCCGCTGAGCCATCTTGCCAGCCCTGTATCCTTTTCTAAAAGATTTATGGGTTATTCATCTCTGGCAACCACTGTATCCAAAGCTGTCGAAGTCAAACAAATTAGGGAAATAAACATGCGTGCCCGTGCAGACACACAAGATGACATTTACAGTTTGCCAACTCTTTGCTAATACCGAGCTCTGGATGCTTCCTCTTGCTCCCAACAGAATCCTCAAGTTACCTTCCATGGCCAAGCAGTGATCACAGATACGATCAAGTTCAAGTGGAGGAGAGGAATTATTAGCTTGTACTAATGTTTGGATATTTCCTTCTCAGTAGAACTAATGGATGTCAAGTGCTACAGCAACAACCCCAGAGAGCTTTTCACCTTCTGTGTCAGCAGCAAGAATAGTTGCAGATGTGTCTCGAGTATTTGCAGGGAAAGGACTAGGTCTTTCTGCAGTGCTCTTCATGGCTGGGCGTGATGGGCCAGAGAAGAGAACATTGTAGAGAAAGTATGGGATCCAAATTCTCAATCTGATGTTGATTGTCTGTGCCACCATAGACAGACAGTTAATACTTAGACTCTGCGATTTAGCTTCTGAAATAGGCATTTCTATGAATACAAGGTGGTTGTCTTATTAACTGTTCTGTTTTCTCTACATATGACCCCCATCTCCCTTCCCCATCCCTTATACTCCAAGCATCTGGCTTGAATCGTAAATCCAGGAAAGCTAACTCTGTGTAGGTTTAGTACAGCTGGCTGAATACTGGGTATTTTGGGAAGGGGGTACCAGACCAGCTGTAACACCGGGATATTTATAGCCCACATTTGCCTATGACCTTTCCAAACAAAGTTAGGCACCCAGAGTGACCACCTTTCCTTTGGAGCATTTGGAATGTTGGCAGGAGGATTTACGTGTGCCACTTGCATGGACTTTAGTGGGGAGGAGGAACTAGTACTGAGCAAAGGAATGCAGGAGACCAGCAGAGATTTTCTGGTCTTTGCTGAAAACAGAAGGCCCCACTTGGGTTACTGTAGCTCCAAGCCACATTTTAGACATGCTATGCATAGCGCTTCCCTAGGGACCAGGAGTCTAGTGTTACCAGAGTTCAGCGGCCTGGCCAGGAAAACCAACACCCCACTGCTAAAGGTTAAGAGTTTATCCAACTCATTTTTTAAAGAGCAGTTTTGGCTTTTCTTTAGGGTCTACAATGAGAGTGGAGACGAACTCTCTCAATTGGCCTCATCTACTAGGGTCTTGACTGTGGGGGTGTGTGAGAGCCAAACAGAAACACCAGAAACAAACACTTCTCAGAAAGTCAGCCATACCTCGCATAAGCCAAGTTTTCAATCACTTAATGTGACCATAGGTGTTAGGTTGAAAGTCCAGAAGTCCCAATCAGTTACTACCCAGAATTAGAATGTACTAAATTCCAGTAATGTTCTACCATGGCATGTCAGAGCAATGATCCCTCCATCTAGTCTTTCCTGTCTGATGTAGATGACCATCTGCCTCTTTTTCAGTATAACTGAGACAAATCTCCAGAACTCCCAATGGAAATTGCAAATAATGAAAGCTTATTTCCCCTCAAGGAAGCTAAGAGAACAAATGTGGCTTGGGAAAATATGGCTTTTATTTTACCATCAATATGATGACCACAAAGACAAAAGCAGAGAAGAGGCAGGGACTGCAGTCAGTGGTGTTATATGAGTTTTGTTTGTTTGTTTGGTTTGGGTTTTTTTTCCTCTATAGTCATACTTGATTCATTAATCTTAGATTGTTCAATTCAGTATTGAACATATTCTCTTTCCTGTTGATACCATTTTCTGTTAATTTTTTTTTTGGCCACTTTACCACCTCTGTTGACCTAGAAAGACTGTGGTGTGTCCAAGATAACAAAATATCTACGAGTACTTATATTAAAAGCTTTTGTTCTCAAATACTATTTTCTCTTCTTCCTCTCTGTCTCTCTCTTTCATGTGTGTATTACTATTCTCAAGAAGGTACAAGTGATCATCTATCAACTGACCCAAATTTCACTGCCTGCACTGATAATAACATGGGCTTGAGAACACACTTAGGGAAAGCTGCATTATTTGAATGTGTTGGTCTGCCCCTTTGTGAGTTCTCACAACATAAGAAAGACAAGCAACAGGCAAAGAAAAAGAACTGTATTCTATTTCAACTATAAATTCAGATACTTTGCCTAGTTACAATATAGGACACCACTGTATACTGAAAAATAATCAATCTGCCCAGTTTGACAAAATGAGCACCCAGGAGTCACATGCATTCTTTAAGCTCTAGAGGTAAGATGAGAGGCCGCCATATCCCATCCATCTCCAAGGACAGACTCAAGGTTTAAAGTGGAAGATACTGGGAGGCACATTTAGAGTAAGTAGAAACACCATTTGAGAACCAGCGATGCTTCCAATATTGTGATGTTGTTTATCAGGGCTAATGTCAAAAGCATTTCTTTAATTAGATGGAGCCAATATACTGTTGATCTTTCTGATCACTCTCTCCAATCTGTAGAAATAATTTGGGAGGTGTAGGAGAAGAGAGCTCCCAACAGTGTCAAGGTTGACAGGGATAACAACGGGGCCCAGGGGAGATGGGATTGTTCCTTCCAGCTGCATTCTGAACGTCACTACTGTCCATTTAGCACCCAAGAAGGGTACATGCCTCTAGAAGGACCACCCCAACAAACATGGTAGATATTCTAGTCTACATATGCTCTTCAGTTTGATTGACATCCCAAGAGTTTCTGACAAAGACAAGAGGCAAATAAAATCATCATGAATGGAAAAGACTTTCCTGATGGTTAGTAGAAAAGTAAACATATTACTCTGAAGTCAAAAGTGAGTTCCAGTCTCAATTCATATATAAATCGAAGCACAATAATAGCTTAAAATAACTTTTAAATTTAGTTAGGATAAAACCTAATGGGTAACATTGTGAGATTGTCATAGTTCTTCATCATTACTCCTTGGTCTTAGTCTCTCCCCACTCTGTTCTCCACCTGTTCTCTCCATGGCTCCTTTTACTGTGCTCCTTTGAATACTTCTTCTGATGGATATTAACAAAATGAGAGAAAATATGACGTTTTGTTTAGAAGGAAGAAGATTCTGCAAACTCTACAGATCAAGGACTGGTGTAACTGGGGTAAGGGGGAATGAAGAAACGACAAACACACACACACGTTTTCCTCCTTTTTAATTGTTGCTGCCTATTAAGCTATGGCATTCCTCGTCAGCAACGCAACTCTGCCACTAACAGCAACGGTTCAGCTGCAAGAGCCACAGCCGGAGGAAACTCTGCTCCTTCAGGCACCAACTCTTTCAAAGCTACAAAGGAAACTTATCTAAATCTCTGTCCCTCTAAAGAACTCAAGTTTCAAAGGTTAAGGTAGAATCTTGCTGCCCAGAGAGGCTGAATAGCAAGCAGCTCACCTAGCTCACCTCCTCGCATCTCCCAAAGAATTCTCCTGCTTCATCTCGCCCCTCCTTATATACCCTTCTCCTCCTGGCTCCTCCCTACAACTTCCTGCCATTTAGTTGCTGACTCAGCCTCCTGACTGTGGGGTTAACTGAGGAAGAAATGTTATTTTCCTCAGTGGTGTAGCTGCTGATACAGTTTGTTTTTCATGTTCCAGTGAATAAACCCTCACTCCTACAGAAAGGTTCAGGTTTGTTTCTTAATATTTTTTAGTGGTCAGCTTCATTGCATCTTCTATCTGGTTGTGATGAACTTACATATGCTTGTCTCATTTATGCCCATTTTTTTAATACTTTTTTCTACGTGTATAAGTGTTTTTCCAGAATGAATGTATATGTATTATGTACATACCTGGTGCCCATGGAGGCCAGAATAGGGCATCAGACCCACTGGAACTGGAGTTACAGATGGTTTTGAGCTTCTGTGTAAGTGCAAGGAACCGAATCTGGGTCCTTTGAAAGAGCAGCAAGCGCTCTTAACCAAGGAGTCTTCTCTCCACTTCTAATAATCTTTGATTATTCTAGATAAAATAAATAATTTTAGGGAAGTATATTTCCAGACATTGAGTCTTGTTTTCTTATATTTAATAGAAAAATACTTTAAAATATTTTTTTTCAATCTATTGTCATCTAAGAGAATGTCACATTTCTTCCGTGGAGCTGTTATAACTACCTGCGTTTTCTCCATTCATCTTGGTTCTCCCCAGTTGCTTTAAAATGTGTTTACATTTTCAGTAAAATTCTCAAACATCTTTTATAAGAACTTTCCCCAGGTATGTTATCTTAATAGGTTTGATTATCATTGGTTTTATTATTATATTATATTTCTTATTTCTGGATGGGATGATGTAAATGCATCTTGTGTTTCTTAACTATTATAAGCTGCATCCTCTAAGTAGTCAATGTTATCATCTTGTAATTATTTCTGTGTACTTTCACTATTGGTCAAATAATTAATGTTTTAAAAATAAATTATTCCTTTATTCTCTAATTGTCATGAGCCACCCAGGCTTTGCAATCTCTAGTTAGTTAGAGTAACTTGAAATAGACATTTTGCTTTAAAACACATATTTACATATTCTAAACTTCCTGGGCATGGTGGTTCACAACTTGTAATATTAGCACTTGAGGGCTGAGCAGACAGATTTGTATGAGTTTGAGGCCAGCTTGGGCTATTTAGTGTGACCCTAACTCAAATCAAAACACTAATTGTACTCAATAATTACATTAACAAAAAAAAATGTGGAAAGATCCATGGTCAAGTACTGGGCAGAGCTCTGGAAATCCTGCTAAAGACAGGGAGGAGGAATTGCAGAGTTGGGTGGAGGGTGGGAAAGGAGTGTTGTCAAGATCATGGTGGGGGAACCCACAGAGACAGCTGACCTGAGCTCCGGGAGCTCACCAACTCTGGACCAACAGCTAGGGAGCCTGCATAAGACTGACCATTGTGGAGTGTGACAGTTGTGTAGCTTGGTCTGTTTGTGGGGCTTCCAGTCATGAGATCAGGGCCTGTCTCTGGCAGGTGAGCTGGCTTTTTGGGAACCTATTTCCCATGCTGGGATGACTCTCCCAGCTTTGATATGGGGGAGGAGCTTGGTCCTGCCTCAACTTGAGAGGCCATGTTTATTCATGTCCATGGGAGGCCTGACCTTCCTGAATGGCTACGGACAAGGAGTAAATGGGGGAATGGGTAGATGGGAGTCAGGAGGAAAGAGGAGGAGAGGAGGGAGGGAAAACTGTGGTCAGTATGTAAAATAAATAAAGAAATGTAATTAACAAAGAAGTATATAGAAAGTTAGAAGGGAGATGAGGGGATGAAGAGAGTTTTAAGGAGAGGGATGGGGGACTATGACCAAGATACATTGTACACATGTATGGGATTTTCAAAGAATTATAAATAAGTAAGTAAATTAATACACAGCTCAAATTATTTTTAAAATTACTAAATTTTTCCTGTCTTTCGTTTTTACTCTCTCCCCAAACTCCAGTCTTGTTCTTTATCATGTACCTTGTTTATTCCGCCCCCCCCCCCTCCAGGCTGTGTCTAATTTTCAACTTTTCAGAAAACCCGATTGTATTCCTGTTGGTTATCCTTATACTTGAAATGTTTTATTAAGTTTTTCTCTTGCTATCACTTTCCTCCTCCTTCCATTAGGTTTATTTAACACACGGAGCTTTCACACTGAACACCAACCTGCAAATATCCATACATTCTTCTAATTTATACACCGACTCGCATAGAAAGCAATAGAGCATGAACACAGGGCCAGGAGTTTCCTATAAATTTGACTTTGAATCCCATTTGTCTTAGCAGCGTTTAACTCTTTGGTTATACTTTCTGATTCTTATTATGGTTTCTTCTCTGACCCCCAAGTGACATAGCCTTCTCTTTTCAGACATTATCATTTTTTAATATTTGTATTGATTTCTAACACAGCAACAAAATGATCTGGTAATACAATTTAAATAATGTCATCTTTTCATCCTTTGATATTTGTTGAGCCTCCAATGCTGACCTAGCTCAGAATTAGTTTTTTTAAATATATATGTATAAATAAAACATGTATTCTTGAGTCATTGGTTTCAATTGTCTCTATATGGCTTTTTAACTAAAATTTAAATATAATTTTAAAATATTTTATTAATTTTTTGAGAATTTTATACAAAGTATTTTGATTTTCACACTTCACTCCACATCATCCCAGATACACCTCTTCCTTCGCACTCACCCAAATTCCTGTTTTTATTTTTGTCTTGTTTTTCTTTAACACCCACTAAGTTCAATTTGTGCTGCCTAAATACTATTGGTTGCAGTGCCTGCTTGAGCATAGGTGATCACCAGGAGCAGTCACACCCTTAGAGAAGGTGAGGAAGCTCCTAGCAGCTATGCATGTCAAGAGCTCCTTAGTTAGGGGCGGGACTTTGTTCTCACTTCCCCGGTCCATGCTGGGATTTTCTCTGGCTTGACCTCACACAGTTCTTGTGCAAGCTGTCACAATTCCTCCAAGTTCATATGTGCACCTGACATATTAGACCCAGAAAAGAGTTTTCTTTCAGTCAGCCCCACCTCTGTCTCTCATACTTCCTCCTCCAAGTTCTGGGGAGATCTCTGGCTTTGGGGTAATGGGTGTGATATGGCATTCCGCCTAGGGTTAAGCATTCCCATAGTCTCTTATTTTCTGCATCTTGACCAGTTGAGGGCTCTATGTCAACTGCCATCTACTGTGAGAAGCTTCTCTGATGAGGGTTAAGACATACTAATCTCAGTGCAGCCATAAATCATTAGTACTCATTAAATACTGTGTCCATTTATCAGAAGAGTAATAGTGGATTTTCCTCTAGAGCCCATGGCCGATCCAACCACAAGTTTTATTCCCATAATAGTGCCGTGTATGAGTTTCATCTTGTCAAGCCAGCCTTAGAGTCAATTAGAAAATCTTTTCTTGCTCCAATAACATTCAAGCTACTATTGAACTAGTAGGTGTATCTTTCCAGGACAGTCATTGTTGTATCTAATATGTTTCAAAGCTGAGTAAAATATTGTTTTTATTTAATATCTGATGGTATATAATTCAGGAGGCTTTCATCCATATTCATCCATCCATCCATCCATCCATCCATCCATCCATCCATCCATTCATTCATCCATCCTCTGCTTTCTTCCTTCTATGACACATAATGTAGACATGGGGTTAATTTTATTTTAATTGTTTTGTTTCTACCTCTTCATTCTTATTTTCTCTATTTTTGTTTCATTACTATTGTTTTACACTACTTATTTGAACACTTGAGTCATATTCCTTCAGTTTTATCTAACACTACACACCAGTGTGACTTTGATGGTAGAGTAATTTCAGCTGGTATCATTAACTTTGTGGCATGCTCATTTTTGTTATTTACCTTTTCCCCTCTTCCTTAGAAGAATTATTCAGATCCTTTTCATGCAAATTTATTTACTAATAAGACTCAATGACTGTTTAAACCATAGGGTCACCGGTAAATATCTTACATGACTTTGGGTAAATTTCTTTGAAAACAGTTAGGAATGAAGTTTGCTGAACAAGCCAGTCTTCTGAATATTTCCCTTATATATTCCCAGATAATTTTAATCTAGCAATGGAATCTTGCACCCCCATAACAAGGCCCTCCAAGTCTTTGTCTCTGATTATCTCTTTATACCAGATGAGTTCTTTCAAGGCTCTCTTTGCACTGAAGATCTGACCATCTCTTTGGGTCAGTTTGCAATTATTTCTCCCTCTTGATTCTTTCCTGGTTGTTATAGTTGAACATGATCTTCCTCTTATCTCAGATTATAATTAATCACTCAGGTCTTTACTGGCTGACCTATTGTATAGTTTTGACTTGGTAACTTTTCATCTTCTTAATCATACAATAAAATGGGAAGTATAGAAGATGGCACATTACAGACCTCCAGATATTTGGTGAGTTAGACTCAATTGCATTCAGATTCTAAAAGAGAAAATCTTTGTTCCTAAGTGGGAACAAATTCCCCACAATGGACTGCCTGTAATATAGGCCCCGATCTTTTGTCAATTTTTGGGAGTTAAATTGGATTAATACAAAATTGTTCCTCGCACAAGTGGAAACGGTTGCTAATAATAATAGAATTACTGGTCAAAGAGAAATTGATGCCACCTTTTCCACATTAGCATTCTGCCTCCTCCTTTGCCATCTTCTGGGTTTTGGAAACTCCCCTGTGTCTCTGCTTTCTCTACCAGTAAGCCTTCCCCAGAGACAGTCAATTCTGAGGGCAATTTTCCAAGACCATTTGCAAAATTGGCTAGAGCTTCAGCTCTAACAAGAAAGGGCATTTATTCTGGAATCTCAAAATGGAGTCTGAAAAAGACATTGCTAACGTGGTTTCATAAATAGATCCTATATGCACCAGCCTTATTTCTTCACATATAAATGTTAAATCTAATATGTGCAGTGGAAAGAACATGTGTTTGTACATGTGTATATGTACACTCTGAGCTGAGTGTTGTTGCACTCCTTTCTGCACATATTTTGACACATTTATATATAAACTATGTTTACATTCAGTGGCATGTTCTCACAGACACATCTGTAGAAGCAGTTATTTGTATTCTCTTGCCAGATCACGTGCCCAGATCAAACTCCTCTGCATTCTATAACCTTGTAGTCAGTGCAACTGAGTTTTTAACTATACAATTAAAACATTTAGAAGTATTATTCTGCATATGTATATATTAAACTTAACATTAATATATTATATTTCATTTCTCAATTAAGAATTTTAAGAGTCTATTTTTATAATATGTTCATGTATATGTGCCTGCATGTATATATGTGTACCATATACCCACCTAATACTCAAAAAGGCCCGAAGAGGGTTTTTTGAGCCTCTGCAATGGAATTCCAGTTAGTTGTCACGTATGTGTTGGAAACTTGTGTAGTAGGAGACCACTTGTTCATTTCTGGTTGCTCAACTCTGAAATAATCACAAAGAAACTATATTATTTGTAATACTGTTTGGCTAATATCTTAAGTGTATTTCTGGCTAACTCATATCCTAAACTAATCCATCTCCATTAATCTGTGTTTATAAGGCTGTGGCTTGCCAGATAAAGTTCTGGTGTCTGTCTCTGGTGGGGCCACATGGCTTCTCTCTGACTCTGCCTTCTTCCTCCCAGCATTCAGTTTAGTTTTCTTACTTAGTTAAGTTCTGCCTTGCTATAGGTCCAAAGCAGCTTCTTTATTAATCAATGGTAATTATAGCATACAGAGAGAAATCCCACATCAGACTTGGTCTTCTGCAAAGGCAGCAAGTGCTCTTAGGCTCTTCAGCCTCTGTGATCAACAACTTTTGACAAGGCTTGGTTACTTTGATATACTGAAAACTAAGCCAGTTTAGTCTGGGTCTGGAAGAATATTATCTTCATTCTAAGACTTTAATGGTTATGCTTAGAATTGAGTTGAACTCATTTGAAGGATTGACCAGGTCCTGCTTAGGCCAAAGTGAGGCATGTTAGAAAGTAAGAAGAAAAACAGAAAACCCCGAGATTTCAAGTGGAAACTCATCTGTCTTGGACAAGGAAGGCATATGATCTCTCTGTTTTCTGAGAAACAAAAGAATATATATTCTTTCTTGCTGCATCTGTGCCCTGGTGAATCCATGAGAAATCTATGCTGACTCTGTCCTAGGCATAAATAGCAAATATTTGACACAGTATTTCCCAATCTTGGTTTAATAGTATATGCCTTCCACCAAGGATATCACCCCATTTTTCTCTTTGCTTAAAGGTTTATTTTATTATCTTATTTTTATAATTTTTAAAACAATCTTATTTTACATACCAATTTCAGTTCCCTCTCCTTTCCTGCTAGGATCCTTGCACCCCTCCCATGAGGATTCAACAAAATCTGTCACATCACTTGAGGCAGGACCAAGGCCCTCCCCTGTATCTAGGCTGAGCAAGGTATCACTCCACAGGGAATGGGCTCCAAAAAGCCAGTTCATGCACTAAAGCCAGCTGGACTGTGACTGAAACAGCATGGGATAAAACCGGACTCTCTGATCACGGCGAACAATGAGGACTGATGAGAAGCCAAGATCAATGACAAGGGGTTTTGATCCTACTTCATGTTCTGGCTTGGTGGGAGCCTAGCCAGTTTGGACGTTCACCTTCCTAGACATGGACGGAGGGGGGAGGACCTTGGACTTTCCACAGGGCAGGGAACCATGACTGCTCTTTGGATAGGAGAGGGAGGGTGAGAGGAGTGGGGGGAGGGGGAGAAGAGAGGGGGAGGGGGAGAAGATTGGGGGGAGGGGGAGGGAAATGGGAGGCTGGGAGGAGGCGGAAACTTTTTTTTCTTATTCTCAATAAAAAAAAATAAAAAAAAAAAGATAAATACTATCAGTGGCCCCCAAAACCGCTTAAGTCACACAACTGTCACCCACATTCAGCAGGCCTAGTTCGGTCATATGTAGGTTCCCCAACTGTCAGTCTGGAGTCAGTGAGCTCCCACCTGCTCAGGTCAGCTGATTCTGTGGGTTTCCCCATCATGGTCTTGACCCCTTTGCTCATATTATTGCTCCTTCCTCTTTATGACTGGGCTCCAGGAACTCGGCCCAGTGCTTAGATGTCAACATATAGAAGCATGCAAATAGAGCCATATCTATCCCCATGCACAAAACTCAAGTCCAAATGAATCAAAGACCTCAACATGAATCCAGCCACACTTTTATGTCTCCCCTGACCCTGTGCTCTTGAACCAGGATTGCTGAAGGGCTCCTGACACAGTAGAGGCTCCACTCCCAGCACGGCCCACTTATTGCTTCTCCTTATTTGGCTTCAGTGATGCTGCCCCTTCCTATAAGTACTGCTGGACCACCTCAAAATCTATCCACTAGGGCTAAAATGTGGGTTTCACTGAAGTGGGATTTTTTGTTATGCACTGTAAAAAAATATTAAAATAAGAACAAATGTAGCTATGTTTGGCCTAGGTCTGAAAGTATATGTTAGATTAGAAAACTCTGCCTATAGCTCTGTTTAGAAACAGAGGGACTTTCCCCAGGAGCTGTACATTTATCAATAAAGAATTCTGAGTAACTGGTTTGTAAGGACTGCTCCTAGGGAAAAGATGCTAAGAGCCCGAGAACATATTCAAGGATGACCTAGTAGTGGCAAATCTCCAGACATTGGTGCTGCCCACCCTGGCAAGATTCCCATTGAGGAATGGGTTGAGAGTTTGTGAAAACTTGGGTTTCTGGGTAGTCAAAAACAAAATAACAATTTCTCAGAACAGGGATTCAAATTCTACAAGAATAAAAGATTTGCCTGGAGAACAGAGTCTGAGGTAATTCGCCAGGTAGGGCTAGCATGGTGGACTGTTGACTCATGGAACTCACTCAAAAGACTGGAGGAAGATAATATTCTGAAACAAGTAGTCTGTGTTAGCAATACTATTCCATCTGGTCCAAGACAAAATTGAGCCAACTCTATAGGAAGACACATCAATGTATTTTCATTTTCTTAGAATAGTGAGCCTTGCATCGCGTCGGTTCTAGAAGAATTCATACCAACTGCACAGCAACACTCTTTCTGCAAAATCTTGAAGACTACATGCTAATATCCTCAAAGTGCAGAACCCAGTGGTTTCTATATTCAACCAGTTCTGTTAGCTCCTACCAGTTTAGCTTTGTATTAAACAGAATCTTTGTCTAAACTGCTGAGAGTTTTATAATAAAGTTAATTTGCTTATTTTCTTCTATAAGAAAATAAGGAGCCTGCATTAGAGGGAGGTAAGATGAACTTTCCTCTGCACATTCTTTCTCTAGCCCCAACACCCTCACCCACACTTTCACCTTGTACAATGGTCATAAAGTCAAAGAGTCCCAAACCACCATGAAAAAGATCGTTCATTTCCTATCAAACCCAGAATTCTATTGACACTCAGATCCTTAGCCTCATCCCTGAATTACTACCTTTGAACTAAGGACTTTTTAGACAACCTGGAGGTTTCCTGGGGTTTTTCATTCCTTTTTTAAAAATATCGATTTTGTAATTTTAAACTAGGTTCGTGTCTGTGATCTTTGCTCAGGATCTGTAAAAAAATCTTTTATTTCTCACAAGTTTGACAGCAGCTGAGTATTGGAAATACAGAGGGATCAGGGCAGAAGGCCTGGAGGAAAGTTAGCCCGAAGTTTATATCAGAAGATAAGGTTCAAATATTGAAAGTGTTACAGGGCACAGGAACCAGATGGAACTAGGCTGTCTGTACTCAGTAGAAACTACAGAAAAAAGGAATTGCAGAGTAGGAGGTAAAGCGTTCATCCCACATGCTCTCTTTTCTTCCTGGCTTACAAGATGTTTCACCATCCCTGCCTCTCCAGACATAATAATAAAAGGGGGTGATGTGTAGGGCTGGGATTGTAGCTGCGTTGGTAGAATGCTTGCCTAACATGTATGAAATCCAGTTTTTGATCCTCAGCGCTGCATAAAAACCTGGTATGGTTGCCTGTGATCCCAGAAATTAGGAGTTAGACACAGGAAGGTCAGAAGTTGATGATCATCCTCCGCTACATTGTGAATTTGAGGCCAGCCTTGTCTACAAGAGACCATGAGACCAGGTCTCAAGAAATCTATAGGAATATGTCACAGCAGCAGTGTAAATGTCATTTATATTTGACTTTGAAATATATTCCTGCATGAAAATATGAATATGTTAATTAAACTAAGAATATAATTGACAATCAAGAAAGTCACAGTGAAATTTCATTGTCCTCTTGAATCTCTATTCTTGCTCTTATTTAAAAAAAACAGAAGCAAACAATAACAACAACTAATGCAAGCTAGCAAATAGTACTAAGAAAATCACTCCTCCAAATTCTATTCCTGTCTTTGTATTGGTATTGGTAGTTATCATGGCTGATGCTTCTTTCATATTCCCTAAATACTGACTTTTCCTACCATAGCCTTGGCCTCAAATATGGAAGTGAGGTCAGATTTGTCCCCAACTCCATAGGGCAGATTGCAAGCATTAAAAACACTTTGTTCATTGAAACAGTCTTCAATCAATAACAAGTGGGAATTTTGGAAAAAGTAGTCACTTTTGATGCATGCCTTGACCATCAGCCCCATGTTCTACCATAGATGTGTGCTCTCACTTCCTGGCCTTCCCTGTACTTCCTGGTATCATGTTCCAACTAAGCTATGACATACACAGCCTTCTCTCAGTGTCTATTCTGCAAGATTCAGTCTGAGGCTTTGCCTATATTGGCTTGTTGGTAGCGTCAAAGAAGACTCAGAGTCTATTGATATAGATGGAGTTGACACATCCTCCTACACATCCTCCTAAGACCTAAATGGCCGCTGGAGCTGCTAGCTCTTCTTCAAATGTAGGAAGAAATAGGAATGCATTATTATAATAATATGCAATATGCATACAGAAAAGATAAGTATGATATTTATTGCTGATTAGAAGTCCTATATGCTATATTTAGATAGACACACATGAAGGCACACAGTATTTCTCCTTAACTAGTTTGTATTGGTGGTTTTAAAAGATGAGATTAAATGCGATGATTAACTCAAGGAGTTAGGGCAAATGGAAGCTAGAGGTTAGCAACTGGAAAGCTGAGTTCAGAATCATGCTCAGAACTGTGTGTCTTGAAGGACTTGACAACTGCAAGAGGTAATAGATATGAAAATTTGGATGTAAGATTACTGAAGAATAAAACATAGAGGTATATATGTTTTCTTTAATGCCTAGAAAACCCAAGAAACTGTTTTACAATCATATGTATTACATGTGTGAATGTATATCATCCATAATAATCTTAGACAGTTATATTTTTGGCTCAATTTTTGCTTTTCTTCAAAATACCTTCATTTTTCATTTGCAACTTCCTTATTTAGGGCGAGTTCCTCCTCTCTTCTCCATTGTGTAAATGTTTCCCCAATTCAGACCTTTTCGTTTGTTTCCATAGTTACCAAGAGTGTACACATATACACCCTCACCCCCACCACAGACACAAACACGATGATTTTTGACCATATTGAACTGAACATCTTGATCCTAGTTTTTCTTCACCACACTTTAAGGAAAAACATATTAAGTAGACCATGGTCTCTCTTTAAGTAAATTCTAATATTTAAAATTTAGTTCAATCTTTCCTTTAAGTATGTCAGGCCATAAGCTTAAATAGTTATTACTAAAGAAGGTTTTTGGAAGATATATCAATCATCAAAGTTAATAAATTACAAAGTAGATCTGTTCTAAAAGCTGGTAATTGGAATTCTCTAAATTAATAAGCTATTTTAGTTGAAATAACTCTATGCCCAAAGGACAAAATAAATATGAATTTCAATAACCAGTGTAGATAAAGATCATAAATCTTCTGCAATTTCTTCTGGGAATGAATATTTTTGTCAGATTTAATGTGTTTTACTCTTGCTATTATAATTCGAAGTTCAAAATACAACTCTTCCCAATAATGTAGGAGTGCTCCAAATTTATTGAGGAGAGACATGGGCCATCTTATGGTTTGGGTAAGACAGACATTGTTTATGGATGCCTCCCTCTATCACACAAGAAAGGGCCATGCAATGGGAACTAACTAACTGATGATGAGTGGAAGAAATCTTTAAGACAGGAACGGAAGCCTTCAGCCAGCTATGGATCCGTTCTCAGAGCTAGTGTCTAAGTTGCTCAGTGCCATTCCCTATTCCAAACTCTTAAACCCCATTCATTAAAAAGTGTTGAAATAATACACTCAATTCCCTTGAGTGAAATCACTCTTTTTTATGTTAAGATTCTTATTGTTTTTTATTGAGCTATCTTCCTCTGCTTCCTTCCTCCCTCCCTTCTCCCACTCTACCCTCCCCCATGACCCATACACTCTCAATTTATTTAGGAGATATTGTCTTTTTCTCCTTCCTACGTAGATCCTCTTAGGGTCTTCTTTGTTGTTCAGGTTCTCTGGGGTTGTGGACTATAAGCTGTTTTTCTTTGCTTTATGTCTAAAAGCCACTAATGAGTGAGTACATATTATATTCGTCTTTATGGGTCTGGGTTACCTCATTCAATAAGTCTTTTCTAGATCTATCCATTTGCCTGCAAATTTCAAAATGTCATTACTTTTTACCCCTGTGTAGTACTCCGCTGTGTAACTCTAGAAATCACTCTTGGATTGGCAATAGATAAATAAAGTATATCCCCAATTAATAAAATGTGAGAAATCTACAGTACAATAATACAATATTATATTATATTATACTATATATTATATTATATTAATCATGTGCAAACTATCCTTGGGTAGAGGGTCAAAATGAGTCTACAATAATAGTTTTCTGCCGGGTGGTGGTGGCGCACACCTTTATTCCCAGCACTCAGGAGGCAGAGGCAGGCAGATCTCTGTGAGTTCGAGGCCAGCCTGGTCTACAAGAGCTAGTTTCAGGACAGGAACCAAAAAGCTATGGAGAAACCCTGTCTCGAAAAATCCTCCCCCCCCAATAATACTAATAGTTTCTATCTTTTAGCCTTTTCCTGTTTTCCTTGTGTTATTGTTTGACCTTTTCCCCAAGACTCCTACTAAAATTTAATCAGCATTGTGACAGTATGAAAAGGTGGGGGCTTTCTGGGGATGGCTACGAGGACACAGCCCTCAAGCCTTGACTGCTTCTGTCATTCAGAGAGGGTTCTTGATAAAAAAAAAAAAAAGGCCAGTTCTGCCTCCTCCTCTCTCTCCTCTTTGCTAAGGTGCTTTCTGCTATTTCATGCACACTATACAGGCTTCAGGATGCTGACTCTTTCACGGACCTTTCTAGAGCTTCCCAGACTCTAAATCAGTGGTTGTCAACTTGTCTAAGGCAAGTTCTTGTACTGTTCTTTATGTTATGGTGACTCCCCCAACCATACAATTATTTTCTTTGCTATTTCATAAATGTAATTTTGTTACTGTTATAAATAGTAATGTAACTATCCGATAGACAAACTATCTGCTATTTGACCCCTGTGAAAGGGTCATTCAGCCACCAATGGGGTTGTGACCCACAGGTTGAGAACCCAAGCCCAAGTGCTATGAACCAATGCAGAGCCTGCCTGCTCATTATTATTTACCTGGCCCATAAGTTTCTGTTTCAGAAACACAGGCATGGAGTAAGTTAAGATATCTACAGAATAAAGCCATCACTGTAAGACAAAAAAAAAAAAAAAAAAAAAAAAACCCACAGAAACAATGCTAACAGAGTTCAAATGTGATTAAATTAGCAGATTTCTTTAAATTGCCAAGATAGCATGCTGTTTGTAAAACCATCCATAGAAAAACAAGCATGGTTTTCGAAAGAAAGTGGCTTTCATTAAATCAACTGTATCCTTTAAAGTGCGGAATTCTCTAACTACCCAGGCGGTGTATTTCTTTGGGTGAGGCTGTGGAAAAGGTGAATGGCACTTTACCCACCAAATAAATTCCTACAATAGGAAGATTTTGGAGTGTACAATTTTCTAAATACAGCAATGATACAAAATGATTTATGTCAGCTAAATGGCCCAGTTTACTCTAATTTCACGTTTATAGGGTAAGATGCCATTTTCCTGTTAATGAGCGTACAGAACTCTCAACTGAAAGTTTTAATCATAACTAGAACAACTTATTTAGATATCATTCCTGCTGGGTATAATTGATCTCATTTGGTTCTCCAAAATAGCATTTTATAAGTTTGTCTTTAAAAGCGATGCAGAAGGATGGCAGGATTTATTGTTTGGAAGAATTAAAACGCCAGAGAGATGATTTGGTACTGTATCCCAAAGAGGCTCGTTTGTTCTCTTGGTGACCAAAGTGTGTGGACAGATCAGCCCTGCCCCTGCTCGCTCACCACTTCTCCTTAAGCAAGAGAACTCATTGATATCCAAATCTTCAACGTTTGCAAGTTAGCCAAGAAACAGAAGCAGTGGAAATGTGCAGTTAGCTCTTCTTATATTCATTCTCATTGTTTGCCTGCACAAGCAGGACCCCCGGTGCCCAGAGGAGGCTCTGAGGACCTAGTTTAGGTCTCTGAGATCACCAAAGCTTTCATGAGATCCACAGTGATGGATCACAGCTCCCATCAGGGAAGGATGTAAACAGGTTCTGACATATTCCTTCTTCATTTCCAGATAAGGGACAGTGTAGGAGTGACTTCTTCTTCATCTCAGACAGGAATCAGGGTCTTCTCGTTCACCACTCATTCTTGTTTGAAAGCAAATGGAAATCTTTCACCAACAATGGTATATTATGTGTGTCTACCTTCCAATCTTCACCCTATTTGAATCTACAAGGAACCACATGGAAAACAGTCAACAAAATCCCACAGGAAGCATTGAAAGAGGCAGCAATATGTTGTTTAAACAGAGTATTTTCTCATCAGTTGGTAATTCTGAACAAAATATCAGAGTTCTGCCCCCATCTCATCTCTATTCTACCTTCATCTCTTTTCATCGAAGATTGTATCCAGATGGCGCAAATCTGAATGCCTAGATGGTTACAATGGTAGCAGAGCAGAAGACAGACCCCGTATGAATGAAATGGTCGGACAGGTACTTCCATGCAAAGGGAAAGGCTGAAAGCATCCACAGTCCATCCTGTTAACTGTTCCAGATGATTCTGCTTCATTCATTTATAGGAGGCTCTCAGGTGTTGCCAAGAAGAAAAAAATGACAAGAAGAAAAAGTTTATAGGAAATGATTTTAGGGAAAGGTTTCAACTACATAGTGATTTACATTCAAATTACTATTAAATAGATATGATTTCCCCAATCATTAGGGCCCAACATTATCCAGTATGCCAACCAAAGCACCTAGGACATTCCTTGTTTTCTCTTCAGAAGGCTGGAAAGTAGTTGTTAAATGACTTCAAATTCATGGATAAATTTATTAATGAATTGACATATAAATTGATCTGACAATTTGATGACTATTTACCAGGGCTGTTGCAGGGTCTGCCGTAGCAGAACCCATAGTGATCATTTCTGCCATTTGGTGGAATCACAGGTTATGGGGGCAGAAAGAAATCAGCTGATTGACAGCTCTGAAATAATTGCAAAGCTCTGAACCTCATCAGCTTTGCTAAACAGTGAACATTACAAACCAGATAAAGGGAGAGACCATAATTAAGTACTTAGAAATTAAAGAAGGGGAAATTATATGTCAAAATTGTGCAACGTGGCTGCGTTGGCTAGTTTTCTGTCAACAAACTAAGGTCATCTCAGAGGAGGAAACCTCAATTAAGAAAATGCCTCCATCTGATCTGGCTGTACTCGAGCATGGAAAGCATTTTCTGAATTGGTGATTACTAAGGGAGGGCCCCATCCCGTTATGGGTGAGGCTCCCATCCCTTTATGAGTGAAGCTACCCCGGACTGGTTTTCCTAGGTTCTATAAGAAAGCAGGCTGGGCAAGCCACGTGGAGCCAGGAAATGGCATTCCCCTGTTTTGAGTTCCTGCTGTTACTTCCTTCAGTTGTTGAAATAGGAGCGGCGGGGCTGCGTCCCCGGCACCTGGCCGCCCGCATGGCTAGCTCATGCCCGAAATAATTACACGGAAACTGTATTCTTTCAAACACTGCCTGGCCCGGCTAGTTCCAGCTTCTTATTGGCTAGCTCTTACATATTGTTCTAACCCATTTCTAATATTCTGTGTAGCCCACGAGCTGGCTTACCAGGGAGGATCTTAACCTGCGTCTGTCTGGAGCGGGAGAATCATGGCGACTCTTCCACTAAGCTTCTTTTTCCCAGCATTCTCTTCTGTCTACTCTGCCTACCTAATTTTCTGTCCTATGAGGGCCGAGGCAGTTTCTTTATTATTACAAGACCCACCTCCATCATTCAGTGATGTGGAAGTGCCGGCCAAATAAACTCTTCGCGTCTCAACTTGCTTTTGTTTCATCACACTATATTAACCCTAACTGGGGCAGAAACTGGTACCAGGAAAATGGGGGCTCACTGAGACAGACCTGATCATATTCTTGGGATGTCGGTGGAGGGGCTTTAGAACCTTGGGCTAGAAGAGCCACTGAGTGTTAAGAACTCAGCAAGCAGTTCTGTCAGAGCTTGGCCTGGGCTATGTGGGTACAGCCTTAAAATTAACCAATTAGTTAATAACTGAGGGCTTAAAGCAAATTAAAATTAAAAATAAAAAAAATCTAAACTAAAAATGAAATTCTTATTGAAAACTTTTTAGGATCATTTAATGGCAAGTTGAGAAAAATGGGATAAACAGAACTAATGAGAAGCAGGAGGACAGAGAAAGGTAACGTAAGGTAACGTGGAAGTAGAGATAGCATATACACAAAACGCCAAGTGTGTTTGTGTGTGTGTGTATAAACTGGGGAAAACTAATGAAAACATTGAATCTGCAGAAGTAATCCAGTATTCCACCAAAGAGAAAAGGAAGTCACTGTAGAAAGATCAGCATTCCAGGATTACATTAGGACATTTCGGATTTAGGCAAATGAAGAAAAACAGAATTTCTCTCTTACAACTAGCTTTAAAAAAAAACAGAAGATTAAGGAAGGCTTTTTATTCTATTTTAAAATATAATAAAGTTCTAATGTCAGACCTACGCAAGACAGTTCAAAAGTGCTGTTAACTGAAACGAGACCCCGTAGCTGACTAGGAATAAGTCCTAGGGGAAAATCTATTACCACTATTCTGCTAAGCATAGTACATAGATAGCATTAATCTGCTTCCTAAATACTTATCTCTATAGCTGTGGATTGGCACAGCTCTCAGCCTCCAGTGGAGGCGATTCTTTTTGCAGTCTGTGTTGCTTAATACCCAGACCCACAACTGGTCAAAGCACATAGAAAAAGAGACAGTGGAGTGCCCCACAACAAATGGAACATCTGTATCACACCTCATCCCTCAACCAAGGTTCAGGATCACTTAAGAAAAGGGGCAGAAAGACTATAAATTCCAGAGGTCATGAATAAGTGCAAAAATGAGGTTGTCCAGACATGACAGGCCCTCTGCACACATGAACTCATGGAGGCTGTGATGGCCTGCACAAGACATGCATGAGATCAAAGCAGTCAGCATTCCAGTATGGATAGAGGAGAGGAATACAAAGCTGATAAGGTATTGCACTGCCAAATTCTAGTGGGGCAGGAGGAGCATCAGTTTTCTTCAGCGATTCAGCCCCGCTAGTTAAATGAAAAGTGACACAGCACTAGCATCCGTACTATGTTGTTGGGATGGAGAAAAGGAGTGAGGTGTGACGTGACTAGACACGGGATGATGTGAGGGAAAGACCCTTCATGCTCTACTGTGGTAGCCCAGCCATGTTGACAAATGGTTTGCCTGACCCAGAAAAGTGAAAATAGATAGAGTAAAATAGACCCATCCCTTAAGGCTGAGTAGTTTTGATCCGAAGCAGACATCTTAGAAAATTCTTTTAAGAAATAATAGAAATAGAATTCTGCAGTTTAGGCTGAGGGTAGAAAGTGGGGGCGAAAAGACCAGGCGTAGGAACCAACTACTAAACATTCTCACCTGTGTTTACATCTACAGTTAAGAATCCAATGGGACCGGATATCAGAAACGTCATTTTGTCAAAAAGAAAAATGGCTACCAAGGAACAAAACAGGTACCTTGATCAGTGCAATAGAATTGAAGACTCATCTATAGCCCACACTGTTACAGCCATCTGTGTGGCTCTTCAACAATGGTGAGAAGACTGGATAGCCACATGTAACAAAGTAAAACTCGGTCACTACTTCTCACCCTGTTCAAAACAACTCTAGATCAAAAGCTTTAAAGCAAAGCTAGAAATTCTGAATGTCTTCAAGCAAAAAGCAGAGAAAATCATTGACCACACAGGTAGGGGCAAGGAATTCCTAAATAAGACTCCTGTCCACCAGGAACAGTGCCCAAAATTGACAAATGTGCTCCCACAAAATTCGAAAGCATCTTCATAGCAGAGGAGCAATGAATTAAGTGAAGAGACAGCCCAAAGAGTGGGGGACGATCTCTACTAATACACATCCGATGGAGGATTAATTTTTTAAAATATGTAAAGAGCTCAAACACTAAAGTACAAGAAATCAAACAAATCAATACATGGAGTGATGAACAGATGGTTATCAAAAGATGAACTGTGAGTGACTAATAGACATAGCTAGCAATGAAAAAATGCAAATTAAAAGTACGTTTAGATTCAAACTCAGCCCAATCAGAGATGCTAAGAGGACGGACAGTAAGTGCTGGCCAGGATGAGAACAAAAGGGATCCCTTGTACACTGTTGCCGGGAATGCAAGCTAGTCCTGACACGGAGGAAACCATTGTGGAGGTGCTTCACAAAACTAGACCAAAAATCTACCGCACAACCCAGCTGTGCGACTCTGGTACTTACCCCACGGACTCCAAGTCACACCTCACAGATGTTCACACATCAGAGCATCGCTCTTCCTCACACCTGGCTTTGGGAACGCAAGAGAAAGAAATTGTCTTCAGCTAAAGTTTGTAGATACGAATCAATTGGTCAGAAGCATAGTAAACAAATAAAGTTAATTTCAGAAAGACAAATATCCCATTTCTCTCATTTGTGGTTTATAGATTTTCATGCGAATACAGAAAATCATTTATGTATATATGATGTGAGATTAGAAACAAACTTTCCAGGAAACAGAGAAAATAAGATAGGGAGATAAAGAGGAAAACATGAGACGAATATAACCAAAGTATATATTATGCCTGTATAGGAATGTCTTTATGTGACCCAGTGCTGTTTCCAGTGAATATAGAATGAGAATCTTGAATAAAAAATTAACAAAGTGATTGTCATTCACTATAATATAGTATGTTATGGATCTGAAAAAACCCACAAAACAGCCACATAAATTATTTTGTGTTGGGATTCCCTTGAAAAGATACAACAGACTATCCATGTATAATGTATTACACCTATTTGGTGATGTATTTTGTCAGCAGGAGAACAAGAAAACAAAGAAAATGGAGTCAGTATAGTGAATGTATATGAGAGTCAGATGCAGAGAGGGGTGGGTGGAAGAGAGAGAGGGAGACGGAGGGAAGAAGGGAGAGAGAGAGACAGTTTGATTTTGTTCATGCAGAAGTATGGTTATTACATGCTATCATTTCTGGGTGTTTTGATATTGTCTAGTTTATTCTTAGTTTACTATAGTTTTAAATTTTTTCCAAAGGCTGTGATTAAAATCATCCTGATACTACTCTAAATGATCATTTCACACCTCTAAATGTCATTCAGAATACATTTTTAAAGACTGCCTAATATTCTATATTTTTGATTTTATAATGATTTAATAACTCTTCTATTGTCATCCCTTTTAAATTTACCACTGCTCTAAACAGTGTTGTTAGAATGTTCTAGAAGCGAATGTTATTTTCATCCACATGATAATTCTTATACATAGAATATTGTATTTAAAGTTGTTAGCATAATTTTATTTCACATTATATCATTTTATTGCATGTAGTTTTTGCTTTGCATAGTTTGAAATTATGTTATTTGGCACATAAAATTTCATAACTATGATATCAACATTGTGAATTGTATTTATTCCTATAAAGCCAAGAATATTTTTCCCTCTCTAACAACTCAGTTACTTCCAACTGAATTGCACCTGAATTCAGCAGCAGGCTTGCTCCATAATCTCTTAACAGAGAACCTTAGCCTTGAAGTGAAGCTAATTTCTAAATTAGATAAATTACATCAACAATACAAAATGAATTTTCTAATTAATTTAATGAGCTGGTATAATTATGATTTAAACACCAACAGTTAACATAAATCTAAGATACTTTGGCTATTAAAAGAGAAATATCTTATGAGGGGGAAATCCACAGATAGATGTGAGGAAAAGAGGTCTAATTTTTCTAATAAGCAATGACAAAACTCTACTGCAGTAGAGACGTGATTAATAGCACCAAACATGTTTTTCTTACGCTGCTCACTGTCACAGTCAAAGTTGAAATTTGCAGTAGAGTTTCCTATTTACATAAAAAAACCACAGGGCATCCTAATTATCTTCTAATTATTAAATGTTTTGTAATTTAAGTTGTGTTTTTAATTCTAATGACTGTGAGGCTCAAAAACATCACTATTAGTTGATTGGATTTAATTAAAAGATAACTTTTCCAAATGATTAACTGAAATATTAATGCCTTGTCAAAAGCTTTCCAATGCTGTTCTACAACATATTTAGCTTTAGATAGCCCATAGATTAAAAGCCAAGTTCAGTACACTGCACAATTTTGCTAGCAATATAAACCATGTGTGATCAGATTGTCCATTGATGGAGCAATTAGATATTTTGTCCAGAGCCTCGCCCATTCATGGCGGTAGTCTTCGCTCACCCAGCACTCACTGGAAGTTCCCATCTTAAGCCTTGAGGCTTACTGTTCTGTTCAGAGTTTTGATGGATTTGCTCTCTGTGTGTGAACATATGTATTGTTGGTTCTTTGAAAATATGATCATTTCTGCCATTTGGAAAAAGTGGTTGGTCTTGGTCTAGCCACATATCAAGTAGTTTTCTGACAGTTTCCCCCTGGTGGGTTTCCTTGGAAGTGACTTGAAAATGTATTTTATTTCCCAAGAGAACTGGAGTTATGCCTGCATGACAAGTATTTATCCTTTCATTTTATTTTATTGCATCGTTAGATTCTGAAAATAACAGTCCTTCCAAAGTTTAGCTTTACAGAATTTTGGGGGCAAATGGGGGTGAGGGCTGCAAACTTTCAAGCGACTTCTTTGGTTGACTTTACATTAAGTTTCTCTTTTGGGTATTGCAATTTTAATAAAATATATGTTCCTAAGTTGCATTTTGCCTTCTATTTCCCTACAAGTAGATTTTCCTAAACCGTATCTAGTAACTTTTTCTTAGGCAGTTGTCAAAATATCCATGCAGTTCCCTGGTATCATGTTTTAATGTGCTGGATAGCACCAGGCAGACAACAGTAATATGTTTCCCTATAGAAAACAGCTTTCTCATCTTTCGTTCTATCCTTTGTTTAAATTAAAATTACAAACATTGAAAACCGAAAGCAACAGTAACAACAAATCATCAAACTAGCCAGAAAATACTAACGTTTGTAACTCGATTTTCACGAGAATTGATGCCTATGTCTTTTTCTTTTCTTTGTATTTAGCAAAATGCCCTCTTTAGATTTACAGGGGGCAACTGTGAATCAAGCAAGCCTCCCGCACTATAAAATTTATGAATGATGACAGAATGTGAGAAGACAGGTAAAGTCATTAAGAAAGCTGCTGCTGGGGCCAGTGAGATGGCCCAGCACTTAAAGGTGCTTACAGCCTAGACTGGCAGCCTGATTTTGTCCCTGGATCCCACAGGGAAGGAGAGAACCTACTCCTGTTCGTGGTTATTCCTTTCCACACATGCATGTGTTTCCCCTTTCTCTGTCTCTCTGTCTCTCTGTCTCTGTCTCTCTCTCTCTCTGTCTCTCTCTCTCTCTCTCTCTCTCTCTCTCTCTCTCTCTCTCTCTCTCGGTCTCTGTCTATCTGCTTCTGAGCAGGGTAGAGAATTCCCTCATGGTTTCAGAGGCCCATGTTGCAACCCTGACACAGCAGCAGAGCCCTTCAGAGCAGTAAGAGCACCCGCACTCTCTGAGACAGAGCCGCTCAGGCTGAGGGAGAAAGTGCAGAAGCCCTGTGGCCCCAATACCATTGGTGTGCTCAATAGCAGTAATAATTCTACCAAGATGTTTCCCCCACAGTTCTAAAATTGCTCATTTTCCAGCTTAGGAATTTGTAAAACTGATTTCTTTTGTTGTTTGTTATCACATAGAAATAACAAAACTCCTTTTTAAAAAAAAAAAAAATAGTATTTTCCTACTGATTTGTAAAGGGCTACCTCTTTTCATGTTGGACCTCAGTGAATCGTGACAAAGTTGCTGAAGTTTCTCTGTAAGATTAAGATCTTTGAAACTCTTGATCATGTTCAGTTGATAACATTTTTGTCACTGGTTCAAATGTGTGCTTTTTTCATAGAAAATGGTAACAATAAGTGACTTTTTTCTTTTTAAACTTTTCAACTTCATGTATTTTTTATAGCCTACTTTTGATTTTAACTTAGGAATGCTATTAACCTTTTCTCTTTGACCTTGAAGCTCAGTTCTTTTATGCTTTGTTACATTCTTCTACAGCCCCTTTTTAGATTACTCTAATTAAATCATCCAGTCTGTTGAATAACCTTATTTGTTTCTGCTTTTAAAGTCTCATATCTGGGCCTAAATCGTTTCCTACCTACCATTTCCAAGGCTCCCAGACACTGCAGCAAAGAGTAATGGCGGAAGGGAATCTTGTCTTGACCCTAATTTAAAAGTATATTATCTGTGAGAGTCCTCCCCCTTAAGAACTCCGCCGAGTTTGATTTGCATGAAAGTAAAGATTCCCATTTTTAGGGTAGGTCTTGTGAGACAACCACTATAACTAAGATACACCATTGGCTTTGTGCTTGATTCATACCAGAAGTTTTGCCCCATTCTTCCCTCTTCTCTCTCCCTCACTTCTCCCCTCACATTTTTCCTTTTTCTCCTTCCTTTCCTTCCTCCTTCTTTCCCTCCCTCCCTTCCTCCCTCTGTTCGTTCCTTCTCTTCTCTTCTCTTTCTCCCTCCCTCCCTCCCTTCCTTCCTCTCTTTCTTAAAAAACAAGGTTCAATTTATCCCAGGATAGCTTTCAACTCACTATGTATCCATAGTAGGTGAAGACCTTATCCTTCAAATCTTCCTGCCTCCACCGCCCAAATGCTGAGATTATAGGCATGAGCTGCCATGCCAGGTTCGTGTGATTTCTGAGAATGAATGTAGGACTTGCAAACAGTTTGCCAACTGAGCTGTGTCCCTAGCCAATAAGTTCGTTTAAGCCTTCTTTTAGGTCAGTCTCCCTATCTTGCCCCAGAACCAGGCAAAAATTGAATCTGTCTTTATTTACTTTAAAATAGCTTTACTGTTTTTAGATTTAGACATGCATGCATTGAACTATATGGTGTGCAAGATTTGTGTTTGTTTTATTCCCTTGGCTAAATGTTTATATGTTGCTTCATATATCAATAGTATTTTACTTTTATGAGCATTATTATATTATATTAACATAGCACAATTTATTTATCTACCTTTCTACTAGAAAATTTGAACTGTGTCTCAACTTTGCCCAGTAACAATAAAATTACAATAGAAAGTACTGGAGGTGTTTGTTTAGGCATATATATTCAGTTTGTTTGGATAAACATCTAGAATGGAATTACAAGGTCATCTGCTCAATGTATATTTAACTTCAGAAGGGGCTGCCAAACTGTCTTCCGAAATTGTCAGCCTATTTAAAATTCCCACAGGCAACGCAGGACGGATCCAATTGCCTCCCATCCTCACCAAGATGGGTTATTTAAACACTGTTACTCTTTTTAAATTACAGTTGCCCTGATGA